ACTATAAGGGATTAGGGTATACTAAACTTTACACATTGTATAGGCTACACTAACGTGACGTTTAGGCGGTTCGTTTAACTATTATACGTGATGTACGTTTTTTTGGTTGATGAGAGTGTTCCAAAATGCGACATTCATTTCTTGACGACCTAATATTTTATTTCTTATCCATATACTTTGGTTACTTTTGATCAGAAATATTTTTCAAAAGTTGAACTTTACCTATATCATTCCAGTAGTGAGCTTTCAAATGCCAAGTACTTCTAGAATATGCAATAGCGATTTTCAAACAGTTAGATAAGCCTAGAATATGCTAGAATAAAGTTTAAAGGTTAGGTACCCCTATAACATTTCAATAATGAGCTTTCAATGAAGTTTTAAAGGGCAGTTACAGAACATTTCAAAAGTACATAATTTTAGATAAATTACTAAATCCCAGAATACTCCAGCAATGGTCATATCAGTTTAAATAAAATATATTTATTTAGTAAACGTTTTTATTTTCCAGAAAACATCAAATGTGATTATATTACTTTCCAAATACCAAGAAGCTTCAGAATATTCCAATAAAGAAAAAACGTAATTTGTAAATATGAGATTCTTCAAAAATATTCATGTAGACATTAAATTAAAGTGGTTAGCGTGCTTGACACGCAATCTGAGGGTCGTGGGTTCGAATCCTCGTTCCACTAAACAGGCGAGCCCTTTCAGCCGTGTGAGTCTTATAAAGTGACGGTCAATCCCACTATTCGTTGGTAAAAGAGTGACCCAAGAGTTGGCGGTGGATTGTAATAACTAGCTGCCTTCCCTCTAGTCTTTCACTGCTAAATTAGGGATGGCTAGCGAAGATAGCCCTCTTGCGAAATTCATACCAAACGTATAATTGTCAGGAATTTATAAAATATCCCAACATTGTAAATAGTAATTTACAAATAAAACCTTATTAAGAAACTTCTTGTACTGAACAAATTACTTTACTTTATGGTGAACGTTAAGGACCTCTCGAATATTTCAACAGTAAACAAGGTAACTTATATATAAAACCTTGTTTAAGAAACTTCTTGTACTGAACAAATTACTTTACTTTATGGCGAACGTTAAGGACCTCTAGAATATTTCAACAGTAAACAGGGTTACTTATATATAAAACCTTGTTTAAGAAACTTCTTGTACTGAACAAATTACTTTACTTTATGGTGAACGTTAAGGACCTCTAGAATATTTCAACACTAAACAAGGTAACTTATATATAAAACCTTGTTTAAGAAACTTCTTGTACTGAACAAATTACTTTACTTTATGGTGAACGTTAAGGACCTCTAGAATATTTCAACAGTAAACAAGGTAACTTATATATAAAACCTTGTTTAAGAAACTTCTTGTACTGAACAAATTATCTTATGAATGTTAGGGACCTCTAGAATATTGAAACAGTGACGAAAATCTAACTTAATGATAAAACAAAACACGAACGTAATAACAGGAAGAATTTATTAGACGTTTCGGAATCGTCATAATTCCACCATCAGTAATCTAGAGGCACAAAACAAACACACAATATTTGTAACTACAAAAGAAATATATATACAAATCGAATATACAGATTTGAGAGAACAGATAGAGATAGAGAACAGATTTGAAGTTTAACGGACATCTTTTTGATACTGAACAATGAGAATATTTGGACTTTGGGACACAAGTATAGATTTTGGCAGGGTAGGAGTCACCTTCAGCTAAGACAGTTTTATTTTTCTAACATTTTTTGGAATGGGTTGCCTTCGGATGTTATGGAGACAGCAAATTTAAGTGAGTTTAAGAGAAAGCTTGACAAGTATATGAATGATAAGGGCTGGTTTAAGATTTCTTTAAATTTAGTTATTAATAGTTTTAATTTAGTTTAGAGGATGGAACAGCCGAGATGGACAAATAGGTCCCATGTTGTCCCAAACAGTTGTGTTATTTTATGATTTTCTTGAGTGATTTTGTAATACTTATACTGGCAATTCTCTGTACTTACCATCACGATAATTTGCTAATTTTAGTTACTTTTATTTTATAAATATCGGGTTCTTAGCCACCACGCTCATCCATAAACTCTCGCCCGATAGTAAATCTTCGACTGAAGAATGACACTGCAACAAAGGTTGGGGCATTTCTTGAACAATTGCTACCTACTTCAACAGCCAATATTTTGTCAGGATAGTCTCAGGAATAAAAAATGATCTTGACAACGTTTAACTGTGGCGTATTCTAGCAATGTACTAAAGTTTGATATTTCGTGTATGTTAAACGGTTCACTCTGCGAGATACTAAAATTTGAGTTCTTCGCGTGACCTTGTTTTACTAAGTGTTGAAAATGTAGGCATCGTTATATATATACAAACCTTTGAACTGAAGTACAGACGTCTCCAGAACATAAATATAAGTGACTTTCTGAAGAAGGAAGGAAGGTGGGGGGGGGGTGATCCAGCTGTTGACTGCTTTCATTTCCCAGATATTGTCAAACATAAATAATATTGGTTTGTTTCGGAAATGCTCGCAAAGCTAAACAAGGACTATTCTGTCCTAGCGGTCCGTAACTTAGGCTACTATAACCATACAGTAGAATTTCATCGTTACTCTTACAACTCTCCTACTATTTGAAAGTGCGGAGCGTGTTTGTGTGAAATGGAACGCGAACCATGGACCCTCAGATTCACAGCCAAGCATGCTAATCAGTAGGCCACACAAGAAATGACATATCCAATTTTCTTTGCTAGCCGAACCACGTGAAATATTTTTGCGATACTTCACAAGAGATAATTCAGTGTATTCTAACGATTTCAGGCTTTAGTTTTTTTATGTAGTAAATTATGGTGTTTCTCGGTTTTTATGTGATAGCTCCCAAAAGTTGTTTAAATGTATTCTAACCATTACAGATTTTAGTTTTTTATGATATTTCTCGTTAGTTTTTGTTTGTTTGTTTTTACACGTGATTTACTTTATTAAGCTAATTTTTAATTTTGATCAGAACTTCTTAATTATGAGTTTTTGTTGTACAATAGTCAACTCTGAAAAATGTGTCCATATCTATAAAATTGAATTGTGTTGTTCTTAACTTAACTCCATAAATATTTAAATGAAAGTGTTTATCTGACATCTGCAAGCGGAATGTACTAGATGAATAAGTTTACAACGTACATGTTTTATTTCGAGAATAATGTTTCTCAAATTTGTTGAATTTGTGAGGTGTAAAGAATCAAAAACAAACTAGCTTTGAAGTATTTGGTTTTTAGAATTCGATTCTATATTTGTATTTTTAGCCCTGATTATATCCAAATACACATTTCAAAGTAATTGAATTTGTTGTCCCTACTTCAGACAATTTAATTTTAGAAATGATAACTTTGTAAGTTTGGTTTAATTTTGGCACTTCCAAACTCGAAACATTCAACGCATTAAAAATGTTATTTCCGAAATATTTAATATTTCATGGATGACAATATCGTTTCATTTCCTTAAGAAGATATTGAGATGTTTGGTTAGTGCTCCTAACAACAAAAACTGAGGCTAGAGATTTGTTTATTTCTTTGTAGTTAAGCGCAAAGCTACACACTAGCTATCTGCAAGCATTGGAACCAGGTTTTAGTATTACAATCATTCAGTCTTGTCGCTAAGCCAGTGGGTACTATCTTAAAGGAAAAAGAAAATTAGTCATAGATTTATATGCAAGAGCATCAAAATAATAAAGCTTAGACTCGCGTATCTCACCTTTAATGTGCAGAGATAAGATGTGTCAGTGCTGTTGCTTATCTTGGTGCACGTAAACATCATTAAAACTTGACACCGATTCGATAAAGAATTTTGTAGACTGGTCAAATTATAAAATTCGTAATACGTCTTTGATGTTTTTTTTTATTTCTTCTCTTCGAAATATACGATATTCAGAGAGGATGTAACAGCTAGTGTGAAGGTTCTCTGCAGAACAGTTTCATACATCTAGGTTTACTAAAAAATGTTGAAAAATTTCAAGAAACTTCGAAGTTTTTCTTAAAAGACTGGAAACTACTATGTAAGTTAAATAACACTGCCATTGTTTTTGCTATACTTCTAAATAAGGGCGTCAGTACTCGTCGGAAGATGGCACCGACTTTCATTATTTTCTATATTTTTTGGTAACTCTATTTCAATACTGCATAAAGAGGTCTCATTAACTTACAGAAAACTTGATAATATGAGGTCAGGTCCAGATATTTCTTTAAGAATTCCATTGTAAGCTGCTCAACCTTAAGAAAAATAGTTTATCTGATATACTAAGAATATTGAATATTAAACAAATCTCCATTAACTCAAATTTATATAAGATATAGTAACGCAGTATTTATTTAAAGCAGCAACACTATTATTACTAAGTACTTACAGTAAAGGCGTGGCTACCCTCTTCGTCCCACAGCTAAGTGCAGAGATTCGCATTTTAGCTAGATAATATCATCACTAACAGTAAAACATCCCCACGTGTTGAGAATTCAATCCACTTTGTAAAATAAAGAACAAGACATTAGCATCGGTGTACCGAACTACTTACCTATAACAATAAAGTACAAGACATCAGCATCGGTGTACTGAACTACTTACCTATAACAATAAAGTACAAGACATTAGCATCGGTGTACCGAACTAATTACCTATAACAATAAAGTACAAGACATTAGCATCGGTGTACCGAACTACTTACCTATAACAATAAAGTACAAGACATCAGCATCGGTGTACCGAACTACTTACCTATAACAATAAAGTACAAGACATCAGCATCGGTGTACCGACTACTTACCTATAACAATAAAGTA